GTCATTTTTAAAACTTGCATGCATTTAAAAAAAAAACATGCGGCTTGCCCCCTCCCACCCAGCTTGTGATCTGGGGAGGAAGATGAAGAGAGGTGAGGGGTAGGTGGATCTTCCTTTGCCGCTGCCCCCAGCACACCACCACAGCTGTCTCTGGAAGGAAAACTTGGCACCCCCTGCTGGCCCCAGGGCATCACTGTAGGTCCCGGTCTTCCAGGTAGCGGTATTCAAAGGTGAAACCTTCCTTTTTGCGCTGGCCCCATTTCTCGTAGTCAAAGTAGATGTAAGTGCCCTGAGCAGAAACAGGAAAATACAACACAGTTCATTACCTCTTGCCTGACTGAATGCATTTACTTGTACTAAAGCAGGGGTGTCAAACTTAAGGCCTGCGGGCTGGATGTGGTTGCAGCCCGTGCAGTCATCCTGGAAATGGTAAGGGGCCGACCCATCCCAGCAGCTGCGCATAGGCCTGGCTCACACCATCTCAGCAGTCACGCATGCGCAAAGGAGGCGGGCGTGTGCTGGGGTGGAGTGGGGTGTGCCGGGCCTGTGCGAGCATGCACCTGCCTATGTGCAAGTGCTCCTGCCAGGATGGTGTTGGCCGGGTAAGTGCGCACGTGTGCCAGCTGTCTCTATGCCTACCAGGATGGGACGGGCAGGGTCAAAGCGACATGGGCCAGCCACTTACCATTTCCAGGATGGCTGCCCTTACCAGTCTTTCAGGCGGGGGGTGGGGGGTGGGTGGGTGTCCAGCAGTAGGGGCTCCGCAGCTGGCCCTCCAAGAAGCAGGTGTGGCGACAATGGCACTATCAGCAGCAGAGTCGGGGGGTAGGCACATGATGTGCATCACCGTACGTGCCTGCTCCATCCCATGTGGCTGGAACAGGGCAGGTGGCTGCCCGGCACATCCAGCAGGCCGGACCGTGTGCCTCTCCCGTGTGCCTCTGCTTCCGGCTACTGCCGCCACCACGAGCCAAGACAAGGTGAAGAGGGTGTGGGGTGGCTGCTGCCAGACACCATTGCCCCGGTTACTCTGTCCTGTCTGTTTTGGCCTGCTGCTGGAGAGCAGGTCGCTGCTGGCCATCTCCTTGATCCCCTCATGGTTGTTGCATTTGGTCCGTGCGGGGAGCGTTCCCCTCGCGTGCCTGATGCACCTCGACATCGCTGTGGGCCGCTGCCACCACCGAGGCTTCCAGCAACTTCTGCAGGTCCATTAGGCCGCTGCCGCCTGGAGCACCAGGCCCACCCAGCCCAAAGGTGGTGAAGCAGCCAGCTAGACAGTCTAAGTAGAGGTGGTAGAGCACGCCGAGGCCAAGCAGACAAAAGACAGCCACTGTGAGCGAGGAAAGCCAGATCCCCATAGGCGCCATGGCCGCCCAGGCCCAGCAGAGATGCGGGGGAGATGTGCAATCCTGGCTGGGCCTGGGTGGCCATGGCACTGATGGGGATCTGGCTTTATCCATTCACAGTTGTCGTCTTGCCTGCTGTGCCTGGATGTGCTCTACCACCTCTACTTGGACTTTCTAGCTGGCCACTTCTCCTTCGGGCTGGGTGGGGTTGCTGGGTGGCGGCAGCCTGCAGTGGCACCGAGGTGTATCGGGTATGCGAGGGGAACGTGCTACATGAGCAGGCCAAGGGCAAAACCCACGAAGGGGATGAGATGATCAGCAGCAACCTGCTCTCCAACCACAAGCAAAAACAGAAAGTGGGCCCGAGTAAGCACGTCCAACTCTCTGCATGTGTTGTGGCCTGCCAGCGTCCAGCAGAGCCAGATAGTGATGAGGTTGGGGAGGAACATGGGCCAGTCCTGGAGGCTGGGGAAGGCTCAGGCGAGGGCTCTCCATCGGAGGCAGAGATGGGGCCAAGGTCGTCTGGCAGTTCTCAGCTGCCTTCGCAACTATACAGCAGTGAGGCAGAGGAACAGCTGGAGCCTGTTCCCAGTCTGCGCATGCACAGAACTGCCAGAAGAAAAGAACAGCTCAGAAATTAGGGTCGACTTGGGAGTAAAGCCTCAGGTAGACGGTGAATGGCCCCTCCCATAGGAAATATAAGAGGAGCAAAAGGGGAGGGGGCTTTTACAGGAAACAATTTGTTTGTTCATTTGTGTCAGGAGTGTGAAGATCTGTCTGTGAATCTCAGAGACTATGTGCCAAGTCTTTCCTTGCACAGCACTGCATTTGGAAAATATTTACATGGCAGCTTTCCAAGCTACATAAGGTCTGTGGTCATAANTATTCATAAATATTTTCCAAAATGAAAATAAGTTTACGAAAAAATATCTTAACAGCGGCGTGGACAGGATGCTCCAGTTCAGGGGGCTGGTTGAGGAGAGATATCAGTCCCCCCTCCCTCCCCTCCCAAAGTTTCCCCAAATGTCTCCCTTTACAATTGGGAATAAATTGCAAGTCTTATTGGGGCTGGGGGGGGGGTCTTCCTGTGGGAGCAGCAGATGATTAGATACAAGCGCTTATCAAATTTATGGTGGCAATATTTTGGAAGGTTGGAAAGGAGAAGCAGCATTGGGGACAGGGGAGAAGGTAAAATCCCTAAAGTCATTGTTCTAGTCAGGAAAAAGACTCTTCCAAATGAGGACAACTAAGGGCATGACAATGGAAGATGGCCTTTAAGGGGTTCTCCTTACAACTTGCACAAAAAGCAAGTCAAAAATTATGGCAGCCAAAGACTGACAGGGACCAATCCACCAGAAATTTCTGTGGTCACCGGGAGCCTTTGTAACTTGAGGTTGATGCTTCCAAATTTGCAAATTCTATTATTTTTGCCAATTTGCCATTTCCAGCAGTGGTGAGTGGACGAGGGGGTTGGAGAATGGTCACCACAAAGGTTCATGGGACCCAATATTATCACAATCATACTGGGACATCTATCCGAACAGGGGACAGAGTTTGTGGCCAAAAAAGTTTGGGGAGGGCTGGCAAAAGGGCAAGTGGGGTGTTCATGTTTGCTGCAATAATTATGGGGCTGAAATGCTCTTAGTTAGAACACACACACAAAATGGAAAACGGGGGAAATCACTCTTTGGGTGGGATTCTCAAATATTTTTTCCCCTTTTAATCTCCATTCTGCCACCCAAACCTGGTGCGCAAGAAGGCGTTTCCCCATTTCTGACCTCTTCACAGGCAGAAGAAAGTGAAGAAAAGGCAGAGGAGAAGCCTGCCACTGCTGCTGCCCCTCCTCCTCTGTCCTGCAGTCATTTTTAAAACTTGCATGCATTTTTTTTAAACATGCGGCTTGCCCCCTCCCACCCAGCTTGTGATCTGGGGAGGAAGATGAAGAGAGGTGA